TATCTTCGGTTATCAGTCGTAAAAATTAAATAAAAGTACATCGTGAAACTGAGTATAATTTAACTGATTAAGTACTTTCTATGTAAATATTAGGATTCAAATTTCTACCTCGACGTATCGTTGAACTAAAAGTACTAACAATAATTAACGAAAAATACACGTTACAAGAATTAATATGGTTTATATAAACCAGCAGCAACCATTAGCCAAAGATGAAAGATTAAAGAAGGGGAATGTTGTGAATGTGAATGGGTCTAGAGAAGCAAATCCAAAGGAGAAAAAGGTAAAAAGGATTTAAAGCAATGATTTTGACACAATGGGAATTGGGAAGGAGAAGATATTGGAGAAGAAAGGAAAAGAAAGGAGCAATCACGTCACCGATGAGGAAAGCAAAATCACGGATCCCACAACATTACAAAACCCCATACAGCTTCATCTCTTTTAACCTCACATGCCCCTTCTCCTTCTCTCTCCTCTCTTCCTTTGCACAACTCCTTTTTGCCTTAAAATGCTTTTAACAATTTCGGTCCGTTACGTATCTCCGTCAGCTTTACAATTTTAAAACACGTATATTAGAGAGAGGTTTCCACACCCTTATAAGAAATGCTTAGTGCTCTTCTCCAACTGATGCGAGATCTCTCCGTGCTAATTAGAAACAAAAATATGTGAAAGTAAATGTAGTTTATAATTAACATTTTACATTTTTTTTTTCTTGAGATTAAAAGCTCAATATAATAATAATAATAACGAGAGTATGATTTGTGATATTTGACCAGACCATAAATATAGATGAGTTATGGAGGTTATCGTTTAAATTTAAACCAAATTATAGGAACCCAAAATGCATCTACCGGTGAGTCGTGTTGTTGTAGCTACCATGCATTGCCACCCCCACATGCTTGGTAGCTAGCTGTGTTGTATCTCTCACACCCCATTGTGAATGTTTGATTAATCCACCACACCTAAATGGTGTGAAAGTTATCTTATTTATAATCAAATAAATTACAAGGATATGGAAATAGTAATAAATGGAAATAACAATAAATGGAAAGATACTATAGTAATAAGGCAAATGTTAGATATTTGCCTTATAATAAAATATCAAATATAATATATATGGTAAACTATAATTTATTACTAAATATCCTTAACACCCCACCGCAAGCTAAGCGTCGGATTTAAACGAACGTGAAGCTTGAATCTGAAAAATTCAAAGAGGTTGAGAAACACTTTTCGTGAAGATGTTAACAACCTGGTTCAGAGGAGGCGTAGAGAAACACTTTCTTGGCCATCGAAAACTGCAGAGAGATCGCCGCTCAGCGACGATGCTGCCTTGGCTTCGGTGAGAATATGTCTAACCCATGAAGAGGGATTGTCGTTTAGCGACGATGCTGACTTGGCTCTGGTGAGAATATGTCTAACCCCAAGAAGTAGAAGGGGAAACCTAGAGCAAGGGACAAAGACAATGTTGAAGCCGAAAGAGTCGCCACATTGGGCGAAGGAGCCAATTTTGGCGAGAAGGGCAGCTGGAAGAGTCGCCACATTGGGGCGAAGGAGCCAATTTTGGCGAGAAGGGCGGCGGCAACTTGGTTGGCGAAGATGCCAGTGCGGCGCCCAGATTCCAAAGGTAAATCTCTGTAGAAGGTCGATGGGCTTATTGAGATTCTGTATATTTTCGAAGAGGAATGCTGATGAAGATCCTAAGATTAGGGTTTTTGTGAAGGATGAAGGATGAAGGATGAAGGGAAAATTGGGAAGAAAATGAAAGAGGCTATGTTTGGAAAAGGTGAGGTTGTATGTACAGAGTATGGCGAAGGATGATTTGGAGGTCAAAAGGGTGGAGCCGAAGAATAATCAATCGGCTCTGCATGTGGCAGCCATGACGACTGCCCCTGCGGCGTCAAAGCCAACAGTGGTGGTGGATTCAGCAAACATTCACATGGTATCAGAGCCATTTTGGTTTAAACGAACCACAATGGAGCCATTTTGGTTTAAATGTAGTTTATAATTAACATTTTACATTTTTTTTTTCTTGAGATTAAAAGCTCAATATAATAATAATAATAACGAGAGTATGATTTGTGATATTTGACCAGACCATAAATATAGATGAGTTATGTAATAATAATAATAACGAGAGTATGATTTGTGATATTTGACCAGACCATAAATATAGATGAGTTATGGAGGTTATCGTTTAAATTTAAACCAAATTATAGGAACCCAAAATGCATCTACCGGTGAGTCGTGTTGTTGTAGCTACCATGCATTGCCACCCCCACATGCTTGGTAGCTAGCTGTGTTGTATCTCTCACACCCCATGTAGCTACCATGCATTGCCACCCCCACATGCTTGGTAGCTAGCTGTGTTGTATCTCTCACACCCCATTGTGAATGTTTGATTAATCCACCACACCTAAATGGTGTGAAAGTTATCTTATTTATAATCAAATAAATTACAAGGATATGGAAATAGTAATAAATGGAAATAACAATAAATGGAAAGATACTATAGTAATAAGGCAAATGTTAGATATTTGCCTTATAATAAAATATCAAATATAATATATATGGTAAACTATAATTTATTACTAAATATCCTTAACACCCCACCGCAAGCTAAGCGTCGGATTTAAACGAACGTGAAGCTTGAATCTGAAAAATTCAAAGAGGTTGAGAAACACTTTTCGTGAAGATGTTAACAACCTGGTTCAGAGGAGGCGTAGAGAAACACTTTCTTGGCCATCGAAAACTGCAGAGAGATCGCCGCTCAGCGACGATGCTGCCTTGGCTTCGGTGAGAATATGTCTAACCCATGAAGAGGGATTGTCGTTTAGCGACGATGCTGACTTGGCTCTGGTGAGAATATGTCTAACCCCAAGAAGTAGAAGGGGAAACCTAGAGCAAGGGACAAAGACAATGTTGAAGCCGAAAGAGTCGCCACATTGGGCGAAGGAGCCAATTTTGGCGAGAAGGGCAGCTGGAAGAGTCGCCACATTGGGGCGAAGGAGCCAATTTTGGCGAGAAGGGCGGCGGCAACTTGGTTGGCGAAGATGCCAGTGCGGCACCCAGATTCCAAAGGTAAATCTCTATAAAAGGTTGATGGGCTTATTGAGATTCTGTATATTTTCGAAGAGGAATGCTGATGAAGATCCTAAGATTAGGGTTTTTGTGAAGGATGAAGGATGAAGGATTGAAGGGAAATTGGGAAGAAAATGAAAGAGGCTATGTTTGGAAAAGGTGAGGTTGTATGTACAGAGTATGGCGAAGGATGATTTGGAGGTCAAAAGGGTGGAGCCGAAGAATAATCAATCGGCTCTGCATGTGGCAGCCATGACGACTGCCCCTGCGGCGTCAAAGCCAACAGTGGTGGTGGATTCAGCAAACATTCACATGGTATCAGAGCCATTTTGGTTTAAACGAACCACAATGGAGCCATTTTGGTTTAAATGTAGTTTATAATTAACATTTTACATTTTTTTTTTCTTGAGATTAAAAGCTCAATATAATAATAATAATAACGAGAGTATGATTTGTGATATTTGACCAGACCATAAATATAGATGAGTTATGGAGGTTATCGTTTAAATTTAAACCAAATTATAGGAACCCAAAATGCATCTACCGGTGAGTCGTGTTGTTGTAGCTACCATGCATTGCCACCCCCACATGCTTGGTAGCTAGCTGTGTTGTATCTCTCACACCCCATAATGGAGCAAAACCACAAACAACTTCAAAATTAGAACACCGCCAATGAAAGTGCAGTTTGTTTTTTTTAAACATAATGGCTATATAGTTTTGTGCCAAAACAGCTCAAATTCTATAACCACTCCCCAATTTTGGCGTTTATTTGAACATTGGGATGAGAGATCTATGGTAACACTTTTGTTAAGCTTTATGTTTAGTTTTTATAGGAAAAATAGGCCGCTAAATTCAATTAACCAGTGTTCTGTTTGCAATTAAATGCATATCAGCTGCTTATTGAATCAATAAGCACAGTAGAATGCATATCAGCTGCGATTGAATCAATAAGCACAGTAATATTTTTTTTGAATAAGAGAATGAAAGCGTTTTACCGTAAGGATCCAAGAAGTACATAGACCAATGGAGAGATTCCCATGCAAGATAACGAAGGAATGAGGATGGATGAGCTGGTTGACATTAATTTGCCAACTTTATTTGGGAAAAATCCATAGGATATTTATTATTGGGTCTGGATTGTTCAACTTTTCATGTCATTTTGTTTCATTTTTTTACTATATATATTTCTTTTTATTATTAAATATGTGTAGTCTACATTTTATTGTTTTATATCACAGATATACAGACCACCCCATAGCTTAATCATTGGAGGGACAGAGCATTAGGTGTCCAAACGTTTCTACCCATAAATTTACCCTAATTTTACTATTTTTGGTAATTGTTAGACCAACACAGCTTTCGACAATAGTATGATATTGTCTACTTTGAGCATAGGCTCTCATGACTTTGCTTTGGGCTTTCGATTTCTTTGGAGTCTTAGTCATTTTTTACTGCCTTCGAGGGTGCTTGACTCCTTTTCTTTTGGAGTCTTTTGTTTTATATTTGAGGATTTACTAATTTATTGGCACGACTAGGTTTAGGGTACGGCTCTGATACCATGTTAGACGAACACGACTTTTCACGATGGTTTGATATTGTCCACTTCGAGCATAAGCTCTAATGGCTTTGCTTTGGGATTCCCCAAAAGGTCTCAGACCAATAGAGAGAGTATTATTTGTTTATAAACCCAGGATCATTCTCTAAATTAGGCTGGTGTGAAACTTTCATCAACCAACAATAATAATTAAAACTTACGATACAATTTAAAAGTATTTTTATTAATTTAGACCGAGTCATTTAGAACATGGTTGGGTTAGGGTTAGGGTTGGGTCTCCCATGTTCACGTGATTTGTTTTTTGGGTTGTTTTTGTTTTCTTGTTTTCTTGTTTTCCTCACTATTCCTATATAACCGCAGTTGCCGCCCGCACCCTTCACTTCCACTCCCACTTCCACCCAAAAGGCTCGCCAATATGGAGCCTTCAAAAATCCACGCCCTGCTTCTAGTTTGCATGCTTTTCCTCTCCACCGCCGCCCCCATTTTCGGCTGCGGCTCCTGCGGCAAACCACCTCCCAAGAAGGTCAAGCCCGGCTCCGGTTCCAAGTCCCCTAAGGGCCCCATTGTCCCACCCATCACCCTCCCTCCCGTCGTCAAACCCCCAATCAAAATCCCTCCCGTCCCCCTCCCTCCCGTGAAACCGCCAATTGACCTCCCACCCGTCGTCAAACCACCAATCAAAATCCCCCCAGTTCCCCTCCCTCCTGTCAAACCGCCTATCGACCTCCCACCCGTCATCAAACCCCCAATCAAAATCCCTCCAGTCCCCATCCCTCCAGTCACCGTGCCGCCAGTGACGGCTCCTCCAGTCATCAAAAACCCATCTCCGGGAAAGAATCCCTGTCCGCCGCCGCCGGGGAAAGAGACCTGCCCAATTGACACTCTGAAACTGGGTGGGTGCGTGGATCTGTTGGGAGGGCTGGTGCACATTGGGGTAGGGGACCCTGCAGCCAATGCGTGCTGCCCTATAATTTCAGGGCTGGCTGAGTTGGAAGCGGCGGTTTGCCTTTGCACTACCCTTAAGATTAAGGCTCTTAACCTTAATATCTATGTCCCCATTGCCCTTCAGCTCCTTATCACTTGTGGGAAGACCCCTCCTCCTGGCTACACTTGCTCCCTTTAGAAACAAGAACAAAATAAGGTCCTCTGCTTTTTTTCTCTCAATTTTTCTTTACATAATTAATTTCCTCCAACAAATTAGTCTCTGAATTTTGCATTAAATTCTTTACATATAACTTTAATTATTATTTATATCAAACAATTGGCTTATTGGATTTTTTTTTTCAGGTTTGATTGATCGAATCGACATGAGAGGATGTCGAGTCAAATCTTTGTCTTTTTTTTTTCGATTTATTTTATTTTTCTTGCTGATGTTTGTAAACGATTTATTTTTAAATTGTGATAATTGTTGTTATGTTGTGTTATGGATTAGATGTTTCCTTATTTATGTCTCTCTCTCTTATTATTATTTCAATTTAACTTTTTCCCTAAGTATAAATTACATGGTCAAAGCATTAAAAATGTCTAACTAAAATTTTAATACCATCATTTAATATTTAAATTATATGTAATTGACCCAAAAATATTTTATAATTTAATGAAAAAATGGGATAAAAATGTTAATATATTAAGAAAAATTGAAGAGGGCTTTGGTTATTTCCAGTGGGCTATAACGGTAGGAGTACATGTGGATTCCGGTAATTCAAAAGTAGAGACACTGAGGCTATGCCAAAAAGGACTGATTGGGACGTCAAAATATTAAAGGGCCCATTGTCCTTCAAATACATTTGTCTTTATGTCTCCACCACGTTTCGAATGATGGACCAAGATTTTATTGAATTAAAATGTTTTAATTTAGATACGCTCCCCTTTTTTTCTTTTTCTTTTCTTTTTTGTTTTGAATAAATTAATAAAAATTCCCATAAATTTTTTAAAATTTTAATAATAACCCTGTAACAGCTCACCAAATATTATTACGTTTGAGTTTGAGCGGTTATAAATAGTATAGTATGCATTAATTTTTTTAAAATGGTTCAAAATTTATGGGATTTGATACCTTGCATGAGAGATTATAAATAAAGAAGCTTAACTAAAGATCCAGCAGTTTCGTTCTCCACGTACAAATAATAGATCTATGGAATATAAGTGAGGACAATTATCTTTGTTAATAAGATTTTTAAAATACAATAAAAAATAAAATCACGAGAATTTATGACCTCTGGAAAGGGCGATAGAATTGAAAATAAGGAAAGTGCCCGGGATAAGGGAAGAAGTTAGAGAAGCCAATGAGAAAGAGGGCACATGGAGGGGAGTTTGTCTCTTAGTTCAATGGAAATGTATGGTGTTTGTCCATTAGTTTCTTAAGGATTACAGAGATGGTTGTTTGTGTACCCAATAATTTGGGGAACCTTCTCATCCCAACACACATAACCAGAGATATTTTAATTGTTTGAAGTTAGATAAGATAAGTGCTTCTCCAATGTAAGGTGGCATAAGAATGGAGATTGAATTCACTGGATATCGCTTTAATTCATGTTTTTAATCATTAAAAATGGATCCAAATTGGACCATATGATAATCGCATTTAAAAGTACAAAATCAACCATTAAATTGATTTTGATTTGTTAATCATAATAAACGTAATTTTATCTCACGAGATGAATGAAACCTTGTAGACAGGTTTTTAAATCATGAGACTAACAAAGATACGTAACAAGCTAAAATAGACAATATCTATAGCAGTGGACTTGAGCTTTTACAAATTATATCATAACCAGACACCGAGCGGTGTGACGCTAGCCTCCAAAAGAGGAAGTGTGACAACATTAGTGTAAGAAAACTTCTATCTAACAGACATGTTTTAAAATAGTGAAGTTAACGGCAATACATAATGTGTGAAAATAGAACATATATGCTATCAATAGATTTGAACTTTAGCCATACAAAATTATAGTCTTTCAATTCATTACCAGAGAGAACAATATATATATATATTTTAATTTCTTTCTCAAAATAGCTCTATCAACGTTCATTGTAACAATAGGATAGCATCTCCGCTAACCCAACCCAACCCCCAAAAGATACACAACTACTAATGAACCCTAGAGATGGAAAATAAAAAAAAAATGAACATCAATTTTTATTTTCTGAAGTGAGCTATGTCATAAGATCCTCCTAAAGATTGCTATATCTAGCCGAGTAGCCCCGTTGAGTAGTACTAACATGAGGGCAGGACATTAATCCAAAGCCACCAGTTATACGGGTAACAATCACGAAGATCTTCTCATTGTCAATCCGCTGGGGAGGAACCTTACACAACTACACTGTTTCAATTTGGCAAAAGCTTCTTGCGACTTACCGATAGCAAGATCGATATAAACTGCAGTCAAAGTGGCTTCTGGACTGTTCGGTATGATCGATAGCGCTTCCGAGATAAACTGTTGGGCCTGTTCAAGATCTCCTTGTAAGGCCAAAACAGTGGCAAAATTTGCAAAGAGGACTCCCCGTGCTTCCTCTGGTCTGAGGAACTTGAAACCATGAAGTTCCTCCCGGGATGAAGTATTAGCCGCCGTTGTCGAACCTCCATTTACCCCTTCGATATCAGCAACCCCGTCGATTCGAAATAGCTCGAAGTTCTCCTGACCGAATGGCAGTTTGAAATCAGTTCCTCCAGATAAATAGTACAATAAATACTCGGTAGCTTCTTTTGGTCTATTTAGTAAGCAAAGGGCCTCTGCAGCATAAACATGGCCTAAGAATGTATAAACTTTATAACATCCTGGAAGCTCCATAAGAGATCTTGCAATTGTTAGGGCTCTCAACGGGTTCCCCAGTTTCAACTCCACATAAGCCAGGTCGGCAAGAAGTGTTTGCTTAATCAACACGTTTTCTCTCCGAGAAATATCCTCATAATAGGAGAGGGAGTTTTGCACAAGTTCCTGAATTGTAGCACCTTTTTGTTCTTTTGTATCACCATTTGCATTCATCTGACTTGAGCCTAGAGTTGCGGCGGAGGCCTTGGAATCAATACAATGCAAGTTCTTATAATATCTCCTGGAAGCTGCCACTTCAGTTGGATGATCTCTCTCCTCCAAGGTAGAATTAGAGGCCAATACAGAATGCGAAAAGCTGGTCTCGGAACGGTTTAACAAGTACAGGGCATTAGAGAGACATTGCCGAGCAAGAGTAATCGACAGCTTAGGTTGTCCTTCGATGCTGAAATGCTCGTCTTCTCTACCAGAGGAATATGCACATCCATTCTTCGAAGTTTTATCTTCCAATACGAGCTGCCTCCATCTTCCCGTTCCAACAACGTGAACCTTGATATCCGATCTATCGGAATCAGCAAGGTTGTTGTTCTTCAGAAGCCCCTTCTCTGAAGCCATTAAGCAGCATTCGGCAAGTCGGAGCCACAACAGAGGGCGGTTATAGAAAATCAAACTGGCTTTTTGAAAGCATCGAGCAGCAAGGAATGGTTTCCCACAAGCCAAGTACTGAACACCACAATTATAGACGATAAGAAGAGAGTTGTCTTGTGAAAAAGTTGTCTGTTTTCTATCCTTCCAGAGAGCTGAACTATTAGACACAGCTTTGGAAAAGAATACTGTTGATGTATGATACTTCCCAAGTTGATTATATATGCAGCCAAGGTTGTTGTTTAGCATGCTTGAAATCCCCATGTCTGTTCGGTTACTCGATGCCAGAAGTAGCTTCATGGCCTTACGATGGTTGCCACGGGCGTATTCAAGTTCAGCCTTTAGGAGAAGAGCCATAGATGAATCTATCCCACGAGCAATGTTCATGGCGTGCTTTGCTTCACGCTTTGCTTGCTTTAAATTTCTAGTGAGAAGAAGAAAGCGAACCTTATATAGTTGCAATTTAAGCTTGAAATCAACCGTAGATAGAGACCGATCAGCTGGGATCCTTAAAAGAACATTTGAAGATGAAAAACCAGTCTGTGTTGCTGGATTTTGCCCACCAATATCCAACGTCGATAACATGGACTCGTACTCAAATGTCTCATCTGACAAAGTTCTCGATAGAGAATTTTCCGAGGCATTGACACTTGCAGCTAAATCTGAATTGGAAGATTCAAAGGCAGAAGTATTGGTAGGAACAGACGAAGATTTTGCCACCACGTTTGTGGATTGTTGTACCCCTGTACTTCCATTTTCACTTTGGCTTATACTAGTAACCCCAAAGGCTTTTTCCAGATAAAGTAGAACATCCTGACAAAAAAAAAATACATGAGAAAACCATTTTCAATACATCATCATGCATTTCTCAGCAGATTTCAGTTCCACTAAAGAAAAAAAGAAAAAAACATACGAGAAAATATGCACGGAAAGAACAGACGGTACTAATTCCTGAAAACACAGTGAAGAGAGAGCACATGACATACTATACACAGAAACAACAGCAACATAGCTGCCCTGGCAAAGGGATAAATCTAACTTGTGAGATCTTACGTCAGTTGGGGAGGAGAACGAAGCATTCAGTGTAGAAACCTCTTCCTAGCAGATGCGTTTTAAAATCCTTGAGAGAAAGCTCGAAAAGGAAAGTCCAAAGAGGACAATATCTGCTAGGGGTGGGCTTGGGCCGTTACAAATAGTATCAAAGCCAAACACCGGGTAATGTGTCAGCGAGGAGGCTGAGTCCCGAATGGGGGTGGACACGAAGCAGTGTGCCAGCAAAGACGCTGGCCTCGATGGGGGGGGGGGGGGGGGG